ATGGCAACTTGTACACCAGGGCTATACGACCTAGAGGAATGTCTGAACAAAAACAATGAAAGACTGGCCTGAGGGCCGCGGATTAAAAGTCACCCACCGTGGCCTAGTGGCAAGAAGCTGTACTGCAATCCCAGAGACACGTTTGGAATCCACCAGATGCTCTGCTGGAGAAGGAGGGACAATCTCCTACTGTACCAGTCAGATCTGATTTGATGGTACACTCACAAAAAATAATAAAATAAAATAATATTTTTTTTAAAAGTCACCCACCTTTGGCTCGGTAGCATTGCTTTCTGTCCACTGGGCCAACTGCTCTCCCTCTATGTTGATGTTATTGTTGTTAAGTGCCATCAAGTCGCAGGTAGTGACCCTATGGAGGAGAGTCCTCAGATGACTGATTTGCACTCACTTGCTGTGTGCCAGAGAGTTGGACAGTGACTAGGGATAATAGAAAGAGAATTGATGCCTTTGAGCTGTGGTGCTGGAAAAGAGTATTGAATATACCATGAACTGCTAAGAAACGAACAAATTCCTCCTAGAGAGGGTTAAACCAGGCTGCTCCTTGGAAGTAAAGATTCTTAAGCTTCATCTGACATACTTTGGACATGTTGCAAGGAGGGACCTGTCCTTGGAGAGGGATGTCATGCTTGGGAGGTTGGAGGGACAGCACAGGAGAAGAAGACCCTCTAGAAGGTGGATTGATTCAGACTGGGGTAAAGGGTGTGTGTGTGTTTAAGAGACAGTGAGATTAGCACAGGAGAGAGCACGGTTTAGGGCTGTTGTACATAGGATCTCTATGAGTCGCAGGCAATTAGACAGCATATAATAACAACATAGGTGACTAATAGTAAAGCTAAACATAACAAACATTAAACTTCAATCAAGTGTATCCCCTTCAAAACTGTTATCCTAGAGACTTTCTCCCATGGAGCTACACTGACATTGCTTACTTTTCAGTTGCCCTCATTATTTTGCACATCCTTTATCTTACCCATTCACTTATTAACCCATTCAACCAACATTTTCTGGAAAATTCCCATGTATCAAGTACTGATTAAGCACTAGAGGCAAATACAAAGACCTAAAAGAATCCTGCAAGCTCATAGAGGGAACAGATACACAGGAAAACTTCCATTCCACTGGAATTTTAATAGAAGCATGGGCAGTGTATACAGAAAATAGCAGAAAAAGTGTTGTTGTTGTTGTTGTTGTT